TTAAGGATGTAGTTCACACTTTTGAAAAAGCATTTTCTAAAAATTTTCAGTTTTCATTTTTTTGTTTCATTCTACGCCAAAATTATCGTAGAATTCGGTAGAAATAGTTATTTTGACAACCACATTGAGGTTTAGACACAATTAACTTGTTTTTCGACAGTAGTCGGAAGTTTATTCCTTAGCAACGACTTTTTAGCGTTGCTAAGGAGCTCATTTTTGTGTCTTTTTGTAAGAAATTACCCCCAAGCCTGCAGGCTTTCCCTGTGGAATGATAAACATCTTATGAACACCCTGTGGTAGCCTCTTTTGCGATCAGAGGCTGAGAAACACGCCAAATTCGCACACTTTACAGTCACTTAGATGTTGGATTGCGAAACGGAATACAGATTTATTCTGATAATGCCTTTATTGAATCGATATTATAAGTAAAACATGCCACCGAATAAAAGAAGGGCTCTAGCAAGTAGAGTTAAGAGGAAAAGGAGGTTTTTTGGCATTCGCAAGCAGGATATTGCTAGTAGACTTGAATCTGACACTCGGCCTAGGCCTAGTGACGATGTGGAGCCCAGTTCGTCTTTCACACCAATGAGCTCAGTTCAATCTAGGACAGCACAAAAATTGTTGAATTCATCGTTTGAAGAACTAAATGATAGTATGAGGGTGCTTACAAGAAGATCATCGAAGAAAATGGGCCTTTCTAAGCAAAAGCAAATTGAACAAGCTGATGGTTTCACTATTATTGATCTGTCTCTGCTCCAAGAAGCTTTGCAATCCTCTACCAATTGTAGAGCTTGTAAAAGATCAGATTCTCAGTTGAAGATCTTGAAGGATAGCAGAAAGAAGCATGGGCTTGCTGAGACATTGATCATTAAGTGTTCTTGTTGCTCAGCAGAGACAATCTTCCACACCAGCAAAAAGTTAGACAAAGGTAAATTCGAAGTAAACACAAGATCAGTCATGGCATGCAATTCTTTGAAAGGTGGACGCAAAATTCTTTCAAATTTTTGTGGAATGATGAATTTACCTTCACCACTAACTAGTGCTTCCTATGCAAGGCAGTTGAAGTCTTCTGCCAAAATTTCAAGAGAAGTTGCTGAAAAACAGATGAAGGATGCAGCAAATCGTCTTAAGAAAAGTGTTTTGGAACAGAATCCAAATGCCTATCTAGATGATATGGATAATACTATTTCTGTTGCTGTCAGTGTTGATGGAACATGGCAAAAACGAGGATACTCTTCTAAGTATGGAGTCGTTGTCGTGGTTCTAATGGAAACTGGCGAGGTTGTCGATTTTGAAGTATTGTCAATGCATTGCCATGAATGCAGAAAACATCAACATGAAAATAAAGATAGTGAAGCTTTTAAAAGGTGGAAAGCAAATCACGATGCCTCTTGTCAAATAAATTATGAAGGGTCATCTGGTGGTATGGAAGGAATTGGTGCAGCCAGAATTTTCCTAAGATCAATTGAAGGAAGGGGATTAAAATATACAACTTTTATTGGAGATGGTGACAGTGACACCTTCAAGGTTGTGAGTAAGGAATTGGAAAGAGCTTATGGAAGCAGGTATCAGGTTGTAAAGGAGGAATGCATAGGACATATACAGAAGCGTATGGGAAATGCCCTAAGAACACTTCTGAAAGAAATGAAAGGTAAAAAGATGTCAGATGGGAAAACAATAGGTGGTAAAGGGAGATTGACAAAAGAAAGAATTGACAGTTTCCAAAGGTATTTTGGTAATTCCATAAGAGCCAACAGAGGTAACCTGGCTCAGATGCAGAATGATGTTTGGGCAATTTTTCACCATTCAGTCATGCCAGCAACAGCATCTACCCTTAATGATCAGCACAAATTTTGCCCTAAAGGCAAAGACTCTTGGTGCAAATTTAATGCAGAGCTAATTACTGGCAAGAAGAGTTATGATGGAAGCAAAAGATTACCAAGCTCCTTTTTTGACATTTTAGAGCCTATCTTCAAAAGATTGACATCAAAGGATTTGCTTGAGAGATGCCTGAAAGGTGTAACGCAAAATGCAAATGAGGGTCTAAACCATATGATCTGGGAAAGGTGTCCCAAAGCAACCTTCTGTAGCAAAGTTAGAATAGAGTCTGCAGTATCAGAAGCAGTTTGCTGTTTTAACACTGGTGCTGGATCAAGGGCACTAATGTTAAAAGAAGCTGGAATTGAGGATATTGGAGAGGAATCTTTGAAGTCTCTTCAGAAGGAAGACCACATTCGCCAAATTTCTGCAGCACAGAAAGTCACTTCAAAGTATAAAAGTTGGCGAATAAGTAGAAAAAGGACCAAAACTAACATGAAAAGATCTGAAAAAGAACATTATGAACCTGGGGCCTTTGACAGTAGAGGTGAAAAGCCAATCTCAACTAAAAGAAGAAAGAGAAATCAGTACTCTGATTGCAACAAACAAAATAAAGTTGACCAATCTGTTTCTGATGACGTTATAACAGACATCCCAATAACATTTGCAGTTCCTTTGGAGAATATAGTGAACATTTGAAAACTTATTAGCAAAATAAGTATATTAAAATAATGCTTAGTCTTTTTTAAGCCAAACTGGGGGTAAATATGAAGTTATGGCCCCAGATAGATCCAAGAATATTGAAAAAAGATAGCCAAAACTTTAAAGTCAATTTTCTCAAAAACACTGTTTTTGGGAATCATGAAATTGGGCAGGAGATAACTTTTACATATGATAAGCAATCTTCTTGAAATTTTCACAGTCTGTAGCAAATAATATGAAAAGTGGAATGAATAGAGGAATTTTTCAAATTTCAAATATGGTAGCCGTTACCATGGAAACATGGTTTTTTGCCATTATTTCCTTTTTAAGTGAAAATTTTCAGGAATTGTCTATTCATTGCACACATGCACTCAAGTGGAATACACAGTAAAAATTTGAGCTGAATAGGAGATTCCATTAAAAGGTTATCGACTGCCCAAGAAAAAAAGAGCCCGTCGTTAAAATTTGCATTAATTTGCATAATTAATATTTTTCTTAAAAAAATCTTAATTTTCAATTGCATCATATCTTCAACTTTCACTCTTGAAAAATTGAATGTGTTACATGAAGGAACCTTTTATTTATGTCCATATGTGTCTGCCTCAGTGCAAGTTTTTAAAAGTGTGAATTACTACCTTAAGGCACTGTTCTCCAGAGATGACTACTCTCTTGATGATTCTATACACTGGCCATTGCTCTCGGCAGCTCTTGGAATCTGTGGGTTCTGCTTTGCCAGTTCAAGCGCACATATGTTCAATTCGATGTCACCATCAGCACAGCATTGTTGCTTCTTCATGGACTACGCCGCCATTGGCGTTTATTCCGTTGGTGTTGGTCAAGCATTCTTTTTCTACGCACGTCCAATTGCGCCCGAAATCTTCCCTTTCAAGTCAGCACAGCCATTCACAATTATTTCTCAATTAACCTCTATAACAACAACTCTTCTTTGCTGCTTAAGCAGGCTTTATTGGACGAAACACAAATATCTGATCCGAACCTCATCCTTTGTGGCACCCTTTCTAGTAAACGCATCACCATACCTTTATCGCATGATCTACTGTGCAAATGACGTCGACTGTATATCCCAAGACTCCTCGTGGGTATTTCAAATTCATTGTTTCTTCTACATTGCCTCGGCTTTGATAAACATCCTTCGTGTTCCGGAACGCGTTTATCCTGGGAAATTTGACCTGCTTGGCCACAGTCATCATTTTCTTCATATTTTCACTGCAATTGGTGCTTCTTATCAATTTGACTCCATCAACCTAGACATGAGAGCGAGGAAAAGTGAACTCATGAAGCAGGCAGTGCAATGCAACTTTTGGAACACCATTTTATCATTTCTAATAAGTGTAATAATGAATTTCGGCATTGCTTTGATATTTGGATCCAAAGCTGGTGAGCACACTGAAGAAAACGAAAAAGAAAAAACTACATAGCTGGATGATATTGAAGAATAAGCTTCTTTGGAGTTTCAAATTTGTACAAGGATCACATAAGCTTTTACGTGTGTGTTTGAGGTAATGTGTAACTTGAATGGAATGGACACAATTCTGTTATATTTTGTGAAAATAAATATACTTAAAGGTGCATTTTAGGCGACCGTATTTTCTGCCTAACAAAAGTTGCTTGGTCCAAAACTAGCGCTATTAAACGTCTCCATCTATAATTGGGACACATAAAAGACTAGCGTTCCATTAAATTTTTTTTAGTAAGTTTAATATGGAGAATATTCGAGAAACGACAGGCTCTTTCTTCATTTCTAACTGAAAACTATAAAAGATAAATAAGTTCTTTAACTTCTTTTGTTCAAATTTAAAGTCAAAGTGCCAATAATGAGTAACTGCAATCGATTTTATATCATGTTCTCACGTTTTATACTCTTAGAGTGTCTGGCAAAAATCTTTGATATGATAGTATCGTATAAAAGTTATTTTCTTGCTGTTTGTTAGCAATATTTTATGTTGTGTGTCTTGTAACTCATCAAAGATGAGAAAATGCATAAAATGCACTGAATGTTTTTTGTACCTCCGAGTAGTTTAGCAATATATCATAAAATTTAGTCAAACTTAATTAATTTTCAATTCAAAAACTGTTGCTTAATTCATCTTACGCTATATTGGAAAACATTGAATTTTTACAGATATTCGAGAATTCTTTTGTTAAATTATTAGCACTACGCTTCAAAGCAAGAGCAAAAGGTAACACGATAACACTTTATCCCAAAGTTTCTTGTTTTTGTTACACGTTGTGTGTCGTGGATCTCCAGGTGTTATCAAACCAGAACTTTCTTTCTCTAGGTGTTATAAGAATTATTTCACTGGAAAAAACCCATCAACCAACATGAGCTCTTGGTTGAGCAGAAAAAAATTTTCAAAGATGAAATTCGATAGAATAAATAACATTCTAGAAACGCCTAATTATTAAAAGATCTGAATTTCCTATTAAAGCAAATTATCTCTAAATGCCTTATCAAAAACAATGAATGGCCGGGGTCCAGTGGAGTAACAGAAAAAATATCAGAACAGTGAAAGCAACTCGTTAGGGCCTCCAAGTCTTAGGAGACCTGAAAGCCACCCCCCCCCCTCTCAAAATGATCGAAAGAAGAAAACATTCTAGCAGAAGAAATAGGAGCAATAATGAAAAAATTTAGATGTCTGACCATTCCAATGTTGGCTGAAGATGACCAGCCTTTGCGGCAGATCAATTATTTCATTCTATTTATTGTTGTTAACATGATTATAATTATTTAAAATTATATGTTTCAGAATATCTTTAGGATAGCAATCAATTTATCCAATATATGGTTCATCTTACAGATTGTTGTTTGTTTGTTTCTTAGTTCTCAAAGATTTTTACGACCAATGCCACATCTCCGGATTCCAGAATGCTCTCGATTAAGCTATTGTAATCTTGTAACCTTCATTGTAACCTTGATTGATCATTGTAATCTTCTACAAAAACTCTAAATAAAAATTTACAGTTGATTAAATAGGCCAAAAGTACTTTTTTCTAGTAAGCAAACAGATTTCGTAACACTTTGCTGCGTCGTGAATTTCATTTCGCTTTCTTTCTGGTGCAGCCTATGGAAGCGAGTTGTTCAAAATGTAGTCATGCCTTTAAAGAATCGAAAGTTGAACACTGTCTTTCATGGTTAGAGCTTTAACAGACTCAGAATTCTTTCGACAGGTTTACTGGCAGGGGACTGGCAGCTATATTGATGAAAACTCTTCTGTGAATACACTTCATTCTAAAATGCTGTCAAGCCAATCCTCCAAATCATCGACTTCTTTGTGAGCATTTTGGCTTTGCTCGTCAACTTTGGAGTCCTGAAAATATACCCATACATAATAAGAACGAGCCTTGACAGTTAAAACATGCCTAACATAGGGACCTCGCCAAATAGCATTGATAATTATTACTAAATGCTAAAAGGAGTGAAAATTTTGATAGCAGACCAGGAAAATGTCGGGTAACAGGTAAGACAGTACTACCTCCTCAATGGTGGATTAGAATATGATACTACAAAACTTATTACTTATTA